TTTGCCACTGTGGTGTGTTCATCGGTACACCAGAGTGCCAGATCATCTGCATACAGGGCAGCTTTTACTCCTGTAGGGAGGTCTTTCACCAGATCATTTATATACACAAGAAAGAGAGTTGGAGAGATAACTCCTCCCTGTGGTACTCCTTGCCGAAGTAACACTTTTCTACTCTGCTGGCCATCAAGACTGACTCTAGTTCTCCTGCTGTGTAAGAAGGATTGGATCCATTTTAGCATGTTTTCTTGGATTCCATTTCTCTTCAGTTTTGCAATGAGACCATCTTTCCAGACTTTGTCAAAAGCTTGTTTGAAGTCAACCCATACCGCCAGGACCTTTTTCTTCTCTTGGAAGGCATCCTCTACAGCTTGTGACAGGTAGGTAACTTGGTCTTCTATGCTGTGACATTCCCTAAACCCAGCCTGCTCTGGCACCAAGATCTGCTCAGATTCTAAGTGCCATTTCAGTCTTGAATTTACAATTCTTTCCAATGTCTTTCCTACACAGTTTGTGAGACTAATTGGGCGATAGCTCGAAGCTTGTGTCTTAATTTTTCCTTTTTTTTAAATGGGTATTGTGATGGCTTCTCTCCATACTTGAGGCACCAAACCTTTCTCCCAGCTGATGTTGAAAATTTCAAGCAGCTTTACTTTAGCAGATGAGGTCAGGTTGATTAGCATTTCGTTGCTGATTTCATCTGGACCTGCAGACTTTTTTTAACTTAAGCCTAAAGATGGCATTTTGTAGTTCGCCCATGGTAAATGGCTCCCTCATAGAGGCAGGAGTATATGTCTGTCTCTTATTTGTTTGTTTACTTGTTTGTATTTCTTTCCTTATTTCTCTCTGATGGTTCTCATTAAGGGTCAGGTTGCTTTTAACACTGTATGTTCTGGCAAACAAATCTGCAGCTTGTTTTCCTCTGAAGATTTTGTCACCATCACTTAGCGTGATTGTTTGTATAGGAGAGAAACTCTCTTCATTGAGTGATTTGGCTAATCCCAAGAGTTTCTTGCCATCTTTATCAAGGTTTAGAGCTGCTGTTTTATTTCTCCAGCTTTTCCGTTTTTCTTCAAGTTTAGTTCTCTGGAACACCGAGAAAAAGAATAAAATTGGAGAGAGGGGGGATTGAAAAGAACAAGAACAAAATCAAAATACACTTAAAAATAGATTACACGTGTCTATAGTATCATCCCCCGTTTGAGTTCCAATGTTACACTGTGGGGTAAAACAAGAACAGACTCATTGCCTTCCCTACAAGCATGTCGTAGAAGTCGACAAAGTTGAGGCGTTCCTCGAAGTCAAGAAGCCAAGAGTCTGCATACAAATAAGCCAGAACTGTGAAATAGATGTGCACGCAACAATCAGTTTCTAGAATAGAAAGCAAGTAAAGATTCATTTTCACGCCTCAGGCGCATCGAGTATACGGAAAGAGCGTCTCATATTTGTAGAGACCAATCTGCACTGGATGGGAAATGTGGTCTGCATTACGCCGGCCGTCTTTACTTTCCCAGGACAGCCATCCTGGTACCCATTTTAGGCTGGATCGACCTGCGACGCCCCATACCATGATATAAATCCACGCAGCCAGCAGTGGGTTCCGATCGCGGTACGTTGGATTACGAGTCGGACTCGCAACGCCTAAGCCACGGACGCCGCAGGTTATAGAATAAGTAAGACAAAAATCCAGAGGTGGACGAACACTTATTTCTTTCCGCAGGAGTTAACAGCAAGTGAACGCGAAGAAGAAGAAGAAGAAGAAGAAGAAGAAGAAGAAGAAGAAGAAGAAGAAGAAGAAGAAGAAGAAGAAGAAGAAGAAGAAGGAGAAGAAAAAGAAGAAGAAGAAGAAGCAGAAAAGGAAGAAGAAGAAGCAGAAGAGGAAGAAGAAGAAGCATAAGAAGAAAAAGAACAAGAAGAACAAAAAAAAAAAAACAAGAAGACGACGAAGAGGAAGTGGGGAGGGGGTTAAGGGATTTGAACAACTAGCTTCGACTCCTATTATCTGTATAGGATAGATTATAATAACTACATCAACTGTTCTCAGTTACGGTCTCTAATAAGTACCAGGTGTTGCAGCAGTTAGCTGAAGATGTCAACACAGAAGTCTGCTGGGATCAGATCAAAGGAATCTGGAATGAATCTTGCGTAGAAGTTCTTGGCAAGAAAGAAAGGAAACATAAAGCATGGATAACACCAGAAACCATTAAACTGATTGAAGATAGGAAAAGTAAAAAGGCAGAATTAAACAATAGCAAAACTAGAGCTGCTAAAGCTAGAGCTCAGGAGAATTACACAGAAGCCAACAAGGAAGTTAGGAGGCATATAAGGGCAGATAAAGTGAAATATCTAAATGATCTAGCACAAGAAGCAGAGACAGCAGCAGCAAAAGGAAACCTCAGAGAACTTTACAGTAACACAAGAAAATTAGTAGGTAAATATAGTCAGCCAACTGGATCAATCAAAAATAGTCAAGGAAAGGTACTTACTAACACTAAAGATCAAATGGACAGATGGGTTGAATATTTTGAAATGCTTCTAAATGGACCAGGCCCAGAGGTTCCCCCAGATATCCAGCCTTTAGAAATGGAACTGGATATCAACTGTGAGATACCATCCAAAGAGGAAATTAGAAAAGCTATAAATCTTCTTAAGGAAGGAAAGGTGTCAGGCCCAGATGGTATCCCAGCTGAAGCCATCAGGACCAACATAAACACATCAACAGAATTGTTACATAGATTATTCAGTAAAGTCTGGGAGACCGAAGAAATACCAGCAGACTGGAGAGAAGGATATCTTGTGAAACTGCCCAAAAAAGGTGATCTACAGTAGTGTGAAAAGTATAGAGGAATTATGTTGCTGTCAGTTCCTGGAAAAATATTAAAAAGAATTATTTTGGAAAGATTAAAAGATGCTATTGATAAAATGCTAAGAGATGAGCAGGCAGGTTTTCGGTCAAACAGATCCTTACTGATCAGATAGCCACATTACGTATTATAATAGAGCAAAGCATTGAACTGAACTCACCACTTTACATTGGATTTATAGACTATGAAAAAGCATTTGACAGCATTGATAGGGAATCTCTCTGGAAATTGATGGGGCACTATGGAATCCCACAGAAAATTATCAACTTAGTAAAGGCAACATATAAAGACATGAAATGTCGAGTTCTTCATGAGGGAAAGCTAACAGATGCATTTGATGCCCGTCCATCTCTGGATGATGTCCTCCCACCTGTACCGTTACCTACCTCTAGCCTTCTACCTTATGGTAAACTACACACGAGAAAAAAAGATAGAAAGGCTTGTCACAAGTTGGCAGAGGGCCTATGCTCTAGTGGGGGAAGAAAACAGGAAAAGAGGAATTTATACTTTTGGATATCTTATAACATAAACTTGGTCACATAACGATTATTATTTATATCCCAGGATTCCACTGTCCTGTTTTACAATGTAACTGTAAATGCCAGATTGTAAATTAAATGAATGTAGTACTACAAATTCACCATATTTCTTAATATTATAAAATTACCAACGAGAAACGCAATAAAAATATACATTAATATATTGTTAAATATTATAATTTTAAAGACTGTAACAGATGACCAAATACAGATTTTACTGTAAATATTTAAGAATAGTAAATCGTAACGGAAGAAAATGTCAAAAAGGAAAGGCTACCGGAAGTCCGTAAGACCCGTTCTTTCTATTCAACGTCTCAGTCAGCCAGGGTAGGTCTTGTCGGCTCTTTTTTTTTTTTTTTTCAAATGAAGTTATACTTAGTAAAGATGGAAAGTTTTGCTGATTGTATCAGTTTTGTGGCAGTTTATAGTTAAAAAAAAAGAAGCAGCAAAATGTTAACTAGGCATTTTATGCAGGATATGTTTGTAAAGTAGGCATTTTTGCTTCTGTTGAAATGGCGTTTCGCCACGTGGTGCCACACGGCTCTCTGGCTTGCTTGCCTGCGTTCCGTTGAGCAGATGACTTATAATTTTGTACTTTCGTATTATTAAATTAAGGAGCAAATAAATACTAGATCTGATGGAATAAGCCATTGATTTGTTTCATTATCTTTAGTATCATCTACTTTTTTTAGGACTATTTTTTTTGGGAGCCGGATTACCTAATTTCGATATCAACGTGACCAAGTTTCTTATCCTGGATTTACACTTTTATGTAGCTAGATCATCTAAACTTGAATAATTCATAGGCTAACTTCCGAATAACGTTCGCAAATTTCTGAGCTGAGATATGTAGGTTTTTGTGGAGATAAGATGTAAAAAACAGCTGCTAAAACTAGGTACTTCAGTCAAATTTTTAAAATGCCCTCTACACCAATAAAACCAGCACAGTTAGATAGCTGTAAACAATCTCTTTCCAATGGTACCTCATTTAGGCCTGTATGTCATTTCTGAGCTGAGATATGTAGGTTTTTGTGGAGATGAGATGTAAGAAACAGCCGCTAAAACTTGTGACCCAGAAACAAGAAGTTATAATTAAGGCCTTTATATCTGAAGTTGCAAATGGTGCCTGAAAATCGTTTTTGGCCGTTATTCGGAGGATTGTCAATTTTTCTCATGCAGCACAACCTTCTCCTCACCGAGGTGTTGGGGAAAGATGTAAGGATCATTTGTGTGCTTTTTTTCAATACATTTAACAAGTTTGGTGCTAATTTGTTGGGTTGCTCTTTATGGTGTTGCTCCATCTCTTTCGTGATCTTCTTTCTCTATCTCTTTGTTCATTAAATTTCTTTAGCATGGCAGTTGGTACAAGAGCATTCTCATCAGGTAGCCAAACAATCCATCTTTTCTTTAATGAATTGTACGACTGCCACTGCACCAAGCTCAACTACTACTCAAATATCTTTTTTTCAAATATTTTAAATAATTTACTCAACAAGAATATCACAGTGCCAGTGTACTGTATGGCCATATCTGTTAATGCACAATATTTCTTTACAGATCTGTACTTTAAATTACTTCAAGTAGTCCCTGATACACAAAGATGGTCAAGGAAGACAGATCCGTATGGAAGTCCAACTACTTCTTGAAGATCACTGTGAGTATATACACTTTAACTGTATTAACACTTAAATAGTTGCCAGCAAGTAACACTCTGTGCTTGGCTGATATACAGCCTTGTTCAATTTTTCAGCTTGCTACAGTATTATCCATCACTATTCCAGCCTTGACAGTATGTGTTTTGGCTGTTATTATGATGGAGACATGCTATATTATGTAATTACCAATTATTTTGTTTCATACATGTAACTGTCTTTTTCTATATTACACTTGCTAAAAACGTTTTAAATAAGTGGCGGTCTATAACTGTCCTGTCACCTGTGTAAACTTTCTCAGACCTGTCCAGCACCCTTAAGCTTCTTGTACATTTAATTCTTAGACGATCTGCAAATATTTAAATGTCACATGGGTACAGTTTTGGTCCCAGCAAATGTCTGTGCATTCTTCTTTATCGTATTTTATTTTACAGCCCTGCAACCTAATAATTCAGCATATTTAAATGTTTTTGCTTTTTTTCACTACAGACATTGTTTGATGAGTTCCCGAAGGCATTCATTGTCAACGCAGACAATGTGGGCTCCAAGCAGATGCAACAGATTCGACAGGCCCTTCGTGGGAGAGCTGGTAGGTACGACTGGGGAGTGCCAGTGAAGAGGTTACTTATTTTTGCTGGTTACATTACCTATGAGGTCATTGTTGAAAAGATTTTATCAATTTTACGAAGTTGGCTTAGTGAGTTCGGGTGAAGAAAAGCTAATGCTGATACATGTAGTCACAGGCACTTAGCACATTGGTAAATTTAGGTTTAAATTATTATGATGGGATCACTAATGTAAGTGAACGAAGCTTGCATCCAGAGCTGACCCAGGCAGTGATCTGATAGAGGGAAAGACCCTGATAATAGAACTCTTTGAAGTGGTGCATTAAAACAAGACATTTTGGTAATTATTTTTTAATGTACTTAACATTGAGTATAGTTATTGAAAGTTTTCAATTTTGCCTTACTTATTAAGTCGAAGCAATTTTGTAATTGTATGATTTGTTAAGGCATACATTATACAGAACCTCGCTCCACGGTAATTGTCATTATTGGACTTTACCACTAAACGGGCTTACATACCATTTGCTCTTTTTCATAACGGATGATTGCTTGTAACTATGAGATTTTACATAAAAGTGTAGTTATAATGTTTATATATATGTGTAGTGTCACTGGCTTAAACAGTGAGTGGCTTTCAGCGGCACACCCCCCCCCCCCTAGACCATATCAAACTGGTAAAGAGTTTTACAAATCTGAATGGGAAAGTTAGCAAGTTTTATGTTGTCAGTACTACACGTGGATACAATTGAAAATTGGAATATTAAATTTTCTGAAGGGCAAGAAAGTTAATCTTTGATTCAACATTTTTTTAGAGATGGCGCGTAGTAGATAGCTTGTTCGGGTTTACTGTCTCATTAGCTGACTAGGGTTAGGTTAACGCGCGAAAAATTTTGCTTTGAAGAAACACTAACACATGGGAAACCTGTTCTTACTAACATCTTATATGTTAGACTGTCCTGTGACGTAATTTGTGGTTGGCTGAAAAAAACTAGAAATGTGCAAGCCTAAACACCCAAGTGTAGTTAGTAAACAATTTTGCCAAAAGTAACTTTATAGTCAGAGCAATTGTTATTGTTCTTGACCTGTGAACTGAGGCATACATTATATACAGAACCTGGCTCCACGGTAATTACCAGCAATGTTGCACTTTACCACTTCTAAACGGGTTCACATTTCATGTGCTTTTTATAACTTATTACAAATTCTTGCTTATATAGCACTGTAGAAAATAAACATTAAATTTAGGTAGATGTTGAATAATAAATATCGTGATTGCTGGTTACTAATAAATACGTTCTGTTATGTACATATAATCATATATGTGGCTTAGTGACAGTCTAAGCCATAGCACATTTTTCCTCATTTCTTCTAGGTCAGATTTCTTTACTTCTCATTCAATGTTAATTCTGCATCAAAAAGCGTAGTGTTTTTAGGAATTGGCACTTAGTCTTTTTTTAAACTTCGCAAATTGTTACCCAAAAAAGTGAGTTTTATTGACATTTTGTCTTGGACTTTTGTCCAGACTTACTTACTCTAGAACAAGCACATCCATTTCACAGATGTAACTTGTTTCTATGCAGATTGTTCATGTCTCTCAAGAAGTTTCCCTTTTGCTAAATTATGCCCCACCTTCTTTCTCTGACATGCTTTTTTTAAAGATGTTGGTGGAGGGGGTGTTCCATCCACATAGGCCCTAGAACCCACATAGTGATGATAGACTATATCATACAGGCATACACTACATCCAAAACCAACCTCCACAATGCTGCTGCTGCTTGCATTGATTGTTGTTACTTTTGCACTTTGCAACTGTTCCCTGACCATTGTGTCAGTGAGCATTACTTCTAGTGCATATAGTAATACTGGACAACCTGATGGCTGCTTGCTTTGATTGTTGTTACTTTTGCACTTTGCAACTGTTCTCTGACCATTGTGTCAGTGAGCATTACTTCTAGTGCATACAGTAATACTGGACAACCTGATGGCTGCTTGCTTTGATTGTTGTTACTTTTGCACTTTGCAACTGTTCTCTGACCATTGTGTCAGTGAGCATTACTTCTAGTGCATACAGTAATACTGGACAACCTGATGGCTGCTTGCTTCTCACTGCCAGCCAGCCTTCCAATGTTCTGTGACATGTAACTGTTGGGTTATAGACCAGCAATTAAGAACATAAGACCCTGAGCTAGCTACACGAAAAGCAGCCGCTAGAAAACTTTAGGCCATAGCAAAAAAGAAATTGGCAAGAGGATAAAAATGGCTGTTTACAGCTCTTTGAAAAATAAGCCTAGAATGTAGGAAGATGTTTAATAATAAATCTCACGATTACTGGTCACCTAGTCAAAAAGTAGAAAGCTTTCAGCATAGCCTTTTCCTTGTTTTTTTTCTTTCTAGTTCATATTTCTTCAAACTGTTATTTGGAATTAGGACATTCGTTGCTTTTGCTTGGATTATCAGTAATTATTTCTTACTGGTCAACTAATTTGTCACGCTACTTTCTGCTAAATGTAGATTTGCATCAAAAATTCTACCGTATCTAGGATAGGCATTTAATTTGTCATTTATTGACATTTTATAAATTACTATAAAACACAGACATTACATTTCTCCAGACTTGATCAGCATGAGTGTTCCGTGCACATCCATTTTACTGTTTTTTTTTTTTTTTTTTTTTTTTTTGCAGACTGTTCCTTGTCTGACACTACCCCTCTTACTAATAATGGCCGCCTTTTCCTTTCCTGAATCAGTTGGGGGGAAGGGGGGGGGGGGGTCCTGGAACCCACATACTATATCCAAACTCAACCTTCACAATAATGCTATTGATTGTTACCTTTGCACTTTGCAACTGTTCCCTGACCATTGTGTCAGTGAGCAATACTTCTAGTGCATACAGTAAAACTCTGGACAACCTGATGGCTGCTTGCTTCTCACTGCCAGCCAGCCTTCCAATGTTCTGTGACATGTAACTGTTTCTATGAGATGATTTATTGTGTGGGTTCTAGGGTTGCCATTGGTGGGGCGAACATAGACCCCAAGATGGCTACACGGAAATGCAGCTGCTAGACTCTTTCAGGCTATAAATCGAGGGCTTCTTAGCAAAAGAGAAAATGGCTGTTTACTGATCCACCCATGTGCCAGTCCTGACCTGTGGGTGTGAGTGCCAGCTTTCGTCCTCAGATATGAGATATCTGAGAAAGCTGGTTAAAGTTATAAGAAGTAATAGTCTGCACGCCCCTCAATTTTACTGTTGGATGACGCATTTGAGACATACTGTGGCATGTTGTGTGTTCCATAATGTTTGTCTGTCGTTTCAGTGATTCTTATGGGGAAAAACACCATGATGAGAAAAGCCATCCGTGGCCATCTGGAGAACAACCCAGGCTTGGAGAGGTAATTCTTTTGCTGTGCTAAAGTTATAGTTTTGGGGAATTTATATGGGAGAATATGGTTGTAGGATATGGTTATATGTGATTTTAGGGAGATATAGGTAATGTTTTTTATATAGTGCCAGAATGTAAATATTTAGACCAATGGGAAAGCTTTATGGACAACATGCTTCCTATGGCCTATTTTAACTGGCTATTTCTCCGCTTTGTCAAGACCTGAACACCATGTCCCTTAGATTTATGCGGGTGGCTGGCTTTTTAAATTAAAGTTTTTGCCATCTCTTAAAACGGAGCAGTGATATCAGTTTTATTTAATGTGTAAATGCCTCAAGTCACTTAAACTGAAGTATTCCTGTGAGTACTCCGGTATACTGAAGGCTAACAGTAAATGCAGAACCTGGCTCCACGGTAGTATTCAAGCTTCATTGATACTTACCACTACTAAACGGGCGCACATTAAGCCTTTATAATGAAGTTAATTTGTAAAGTAGTATTGTGTGACGTTATACCTGAAATAATTTGGTTAATAACTTTCAACTTTGTGCATCCCCAGTCGGTTTGATGTCAAGGCTCTATTAAAATTGGCAGTAAGCAGCAACCTCTAGTGGACACTTGTCTTCTAGTGACCCAATTTTTCTGGTCTGTCGCCTTTTCTTACATTCTGCAGACCACATTGCCTTGTAAACTCAGTGAAACAAAAAGTGCATCTGCCTGAGAGGCAAGTGGCCAGTCTGCATACAAATTAGTCAGATCTGTTAAACGGATGTGCACGCAACACTGTTTGAGACGAACAACCAGAACTTTCAGCCGCCAGAGTTTACTACAGCTGGTGAACATAAAGAAGTGATTAAGCCACTGGCAGTTCCTAGACTAGGATTTATTTACGGGGAAAAAACTATTTGGGTAGGGTGCCCTGACATTTTTTTTTTGTCATTAAGAATTTTTTTTTTGGTTTGTATTTACAAGCACATCTAGTGTTTTACATGTGAAACAAGAACTTGCACTGGTTTGGCGTGGCTGTCTTATACTCAACAGTCCATGATGATGAAATGTTTGTTGATGTTGTGAGTGTAGGGCTAAAGCAAGGGGTTAACCTCCCTTGTTGGCACCTGCATAGAGATCATAAACCTGCGCCAACAGCTGTCTGAATGGACTTTTTTTATGAGTTATGAAGTGTCCTCTCGTGAGTGAGTTGTAGATATCGTACCCTACCTGTAAACAAACACCACATGATTTCTACCTCTTCAGTGGTAAATGAGAAAAAAAAAACAATAATTTGTAAATTATCACATTTGGTATTAGAATTTCTTAAAATGCAGGCATATGTATATACTTAATTTTGAAACATTGCCTAAAGACATTAAAATCAAAGCAATTTATTCAATTGCTTTGATGTCCCACCTGAGGCAGACATCAAACATAGAACCTGGCTCCACGGTAATGACCAATCATTGGCATGTACCACTACTAAACGGGCACACATGTTTTGTTTTATCTGGTTTGAATATGATTGCAGAACATTTTTATATGGTGTTTAGTAAAAGTTAAATGCAACTTTAGGTTGTTTTTTTTTCTCCCTCTGCAATTTAATTTTTCCTTCACACTGAACTTTTTAGTTATACTTTAAATTCTGAAACACTTGCCTAAAGACATTAAAATCAAAGAATTCAGCTTTAAGCTTTGATGTTCTACCTGAGGCAGACAGCATATGTAGATCCTGGCTCCACGGTAATGATCAATCATTGACACGTACCACTACTAAACAGGCGCACATATTTTATGTCTTCAGTTAGAATTAGAGAGTATAATGAATATATATAATAGCAGGCTTCTTTATATAGATGTCTGCATTCTCTCTATCCATTTTATATCTAACCATACAACTCTAAATTCCTTTTTAAAAATGTCCCCTAATTTATATCCTAAAATTATTAGCTGTATTCTTCTGCCTAAAGTCCCTTTTTTTCCAAGGAATTGTATGGACTAAGCTATTCAGCATTGTACACTGTTTGTTTCCCCACAGACTGCTGCCAGTCATCAAGAACAATGTTGGCTTTGTATTCACCAAGGAGGACTTGACTGATGTGCGCACTCTGCTTTTGGAGAACAAAGTATGTTTTTTCTCTTTATTTGATCAGCAGTAAATACACCATTTAAGAACTGTTGGTATGGTTGCCATGTTTAACAAAAACAGGTTATAACTGCTGTCATTAGTTATGAATAGATTTTATTTATAAATTTCAGTTTAGTGCATTCATAAACAAAGACAATTTATTGCCAGACTATTTCTTGCTTTCTACAGTAACAGTTCTTGCCAAAAAAAAAATGAATCTTTTAAACTGAAACACAACCAGCTACATTAAACTTCATAAGTTACAGCTAAAGTGTGGCAGTAAATTGTGTGTGGTTCAACAGCTGCAATGTTAAGAATAAGAAATTCACATCACTTAAACTGCCCCATGCTTTTTTTTAATTGTGAATTTAAAAAAAAAATTTCAGTGTAGCTGAAATAATATGATCAGATTGTAAAAACTGTTAGTCCATGATGATGAAATGTTTGTTGATGTTGTGAGTGTAGGGCTAAAACAAGGGGTTAACCTCCCTTGTTGGCACCTGCATAGAGATCATAAACCTGCGTCAACAGCTGTCTGAGTGGACTCAAAGGTTCCTGTAGATTATGTAGCAGTTTTTTTTTTTATAAGCAAAACTTTTCAGTTGAACTCGCATCATAAATAAAAAATAAGGCAGACTAGAAATATCTGTAACAGGCTGAAGTGAATTTACTTTTACTACTATTTATTATTTTAGTTTTGTGAATCAATAGATAAAGGCAAAAATATAAAGAGAGGGAAGAGGCTGACTTATTTATCATCAAGAATAGACCAACTTGATGTGAGTTGGAGAGCCTATGTATGCCCCAGAGGGGGGATGGGGGGGCTGATGCGGCAAAACAGTAATTTAATCTGTTTTTAATGCTTTTAAATTATTTCTGTAAACTAGGTTCAAGCTCCAGCCAGAGCCGGAGCTGTTGCTCCTTTGGATGTGAAAATCCCAGCCCAGCAGACCACCCTTGGGCCGGAGAAGACTTCCTTCTTCCAGGCTCTGTCCATCCCAACCAAGATTACCAAGGGAACCATTGAAATCTTGGTTAGTCTTGTCTTTTTTTAAAATCTGGTTTTGCTTATTGTGATGTTAACTGGCAGTGACTAGATACTTGACACATATTTGGAAAATGTACTTTTTGCCTGAGACTGCTGACAAAAAAAGCTATATCTGTAAGTAAAGTTAATATGCTGACAGCAGTCTGGAACCTACAACACTATAAGTTAAACAAGATTCCGGTTGAGTGTCAGCAAATGAATATGCTTAAGTGTGGATGTTTGTCTTAGACCCGGGTCCATTTATAAGTGAATTTATACTTATGCAACAGTTCACATTTTATCAAGGTTTTTTTTGTTCAGCAAGGGGTATGTCAACCCTACCAGACCCAGACCGCTGGCCAGATTTTCCGGGAATTTCTAAGCTTGACACTATTTTGCTGACCCCAATTTTAGGCTATTTGCGTAGTGCCTGAAAAAGATGCGTCACAATCGTAATCAGACCTGGTGGATAGTCTTCCTAGATGTTTGCCCTCATAAAATTTGATGAACCAAGCACTTCGACAGGAAAGTAGGTCTAGGCTTTTTAGTCCAACAGGTGATCGATACTCTGCTTTATTTAGACTCTGCGAAGTCATAATTTCATGAAGAAAGCGTTCAGTTAGTGACACATTGAGATCAAAAAATGAGAAAAATAAATCTTAAGAGAAGGGGGCGTGTCTCTCAAACAGCAACATCTGGTGCTCACTTTGTGAAAGTCTTAAATCCTCCTGAGTGGATGGGCACACAGAGGTGGAATATTGGTGTTAATGCCCAGGAGCTCAGGTTTAGGGGTATAGGGGACAGTTAGGTCTGGTAGGGTTAAAATACTTGACAAATGTAGTCAAACATTGTTGATTTCACAATTTCACCAAACTATGGCCCATGGAAAGGAAGGAAATTAAGTTCAAGCATTTTGACACAAGTCCTATAGCAACATCGTAATAAGATTCTCAGAAAATGACATCCTAAATAATGTAAACATCTGGGGTTTAAGTGACAACTGGGTTAGGAATATGCAGATCTGGCAGGTTTCCTGTCAGCAGGCTGCAAAGTTATTCTGATGATCTGCTACAAACAGGTCTGTAGGTAGGCTAGTTCTGTATGCATAATATCACATATTGATCACAATACCTGTTATTTTTTATATTTACTTGTTTTCTTTTTAGAACGAGGTGTCACTGATCAAAGAAGGAGAGAGAGTGGGTCAGTCCGAGTCTACTCTTCTCAACATGTTGAATATTTCCCCCTTTACCTATGGGTTGGTCATTGAGAACGGTAGGTCAAATTTTTCATTGTATGTTCTGTGATTATCCCTCTGACCAGACTAACAGTCCATGATGATGAAATGTTTGTTGGTGTTGTGAGTGTAGGGCTAAAGCAAGGGGTTAACCTCCCTTGTTGGCACCTGCATAGAGATCATAAACCTGCGCCAACAGCTGTCTGAGTGGACCTGAGACTTATGCAAAATACTGTAGCACCAGTTTTTCCATACTACTTAAAAATAAATTGTGGGTTCCCACATTGAGGGATAGTACTTGCAGTTGTTTTGTTCAAAGTGGGTTTGTCAGGAACCAAATCTACCTACGGAAGTGGATTAACTAAAACTTACGTGATCATTTACTGAAGGTGAATGCTCAGATAATTTCACCAAAAAAGGTATTAGGGAGATATGAACCAGCATCATTTTGCACACGGTTATAAACCATAAGTGCTCTGCCACCAGCATGAGCTGCTAAGAAAATTATCGGCCTGTGTTGCCGTCCGCACACAACTTCATTGCTACAGCGACGTTCCTCTATGACTATTAATCCTAGATTATTAACTCAGAGGCTAGGTGAAACCAGGGACCGCCTGGTTTTAAACACAGGTCGTGGGCTGCAGCGAGTTGCAGCTGCATTTGAAAGCAAAGTCACCTATCGACTTCGCTAGCACTGCCCTTTTTAAAAAACCCTGTGCAACTTACCAATACATGAAATATTACTGACAGCCAAGGATAGCATATTTTTCAGTGGAATGTCTAGAAGTGAACCTGGAGGACTAAAGCAAGTTAAGCATTTGCTTCTTTGAGGCAGTAATCCAATGTAGCTACAAAATTAGCTGAATAAGTTTAAGATAAAATTTCTAGAGATGTGCTATATAAATTGATAATTTTGTGCTAATGTTCCCATTTTTATTTGTTGTTTCAGTTTATGACTCTGGCACTGTCTTTGCTCCCAACATCCTAGACATTACAAACGATGACATCATTTCACGCTTCCTAGCTGTAAGTATACTTGGGCTTTGCTTTGTACATGTTTTTTAATACTCTATGAGAATTCATTAGTGTGCAAAGTAGTAAGGCTTAGTTTTGTACATGTTTTTTTAATACTCTAGGAGAATTCATTGGTGTGCAAAGTAGACTGCAAATTGAAAGGCTTGTGGTGCCTTTCATGCTAGTGGAAGTGTGACACACTGTCCTTTAAAAGGATGAACATAACAAATATGTACTAGAATTGGACTTCCATTATAGTGTCTCAGTATTGCTCCTGATGTTACAATTGATACTTCACTGCTTTTGTAAATACATATATCCAGCATTGTTTGTTTTTTCTCCTACAGGGTGTGCGCAATGTTGCCTGTGTGTCTCTTGCTATTGGTTACCCGACTGCAGCCTCTGCCCCTCACTCACTCATCAATGGGTTCAAGCGCCTGTTGGCTATTGCAGTTGAGACTGACTACACTTTCCCGGAGGCAGAGAAGGTAAGATAGTTTTAGAATTCCTAGTTTCTATTTCTGCCATGTAGCTTCTTTAGTCAACTGCTTAGCGCGAATGTATTTAGATAAATGTAATGTAATGTTTAATAAGACTATTTATCCCTAATATCGGGTAAATGTGCAGCAAGATATCTTAGTTTACCCAGGCACCAAAAATATCAAAAGACAACATTGAAAAATCATCAATACAAGATGACTGGCAATGATCCACGGGCAAGCTTATAGACCTCTGCAGGCTGCCAGAGCTAGAAGGGCATATAAGAGGAAGATAATGACTGTGCTGTGAAATCAGCATCCACGTCTGGCAGTGTTGATTCTTGAATCAGTGCCAAGATTTTCTCACATGTGGATCAGGTGTCTTAGCACTTTATAAAGCCCTGGGTCCCCGTGTACACAAACAGTACACAAAAAAAATAGACCCACGAGCATGTCCTAAGAGTCTGCTAATTGGTAGACTTAAAACATAATGGTGGAACTGGATATACACGTAACACTCAGGTTTTGTCTCTTCTGAAGCAACTTCATGTGAAGCACAATATGTATAATGTACTATGTGAATTAATATTTTGAGTTGCCTAAATTTATCTAAATATTAAATTGTATGTTCACAGACAAAGGAGTACTTGAAAGACCCCTCCAAATTTGCCAGTTTGGTCGTTGCTGCGGCCCCAGCGGCTCAGGCAGCTAAACCTGCAGCTGCCGCCGCCGCCAAGGAGGAGGCCAAGAAAGAGGAAAGCGAGGAGTCCGAAGAGGATATGGGATTTGGTCTCTTTGATTAGTGAAAATGTTTGCCACATTGTGGCAGAACTTTGACAATACAGTTTTTAAATGTATGTTGGGTTTTCCATTCTGTGTGTGAGGTGTTTTTGTCTAGTATGGATTAAGCTTTTTAGAGAATTTAAATGACTGAAGACGTTGAATTACAAGTGCCTTTTAAAATATGCCCGTGTTGGTTTCGGTCGTCTAATTGAGAGCTCCCTTTGAAGTTGAAGTGCATCTGCCTGCACATGCTACATTCGGTTCTCAGACAGGACTGCAGTCCAAAAGTGGATGTCAGTTTACAGCTGGTGAACACGAAGAAGAATATACCCTATCTCTGGCTGTTTGCGACAGTCTTTGATGCCACAATAAATGCAGAAGTCCTGCTAAATCAACCTGCATCTGGATTCAGGAGGATTACACCTGAAACATGACCGAGACTTAGCAGATGGTGACGTGGGCCGTAAAACGTTTTCTGAGCACAAACAGCTCAAATGGGTCGCGGGTTTGAATCCGACATTAGCACTCAGATCAACCCAGCGTTGGGTGGGTGCCGGGTATAGAAAGTAAAGGTCTGGTGTGATAATAAACCTGAATGCCATGGACTATATAGAATATAGGTCCGACCCAGTCTGAAGACCAGTCTGGATTGGTGAACATAATGTCCCGTTCACGTGGGTCGCCTAAGACCAACTGAACGTTTACTGAAGTTACGAAGTAATGTCTGCTTGTTAGCAAACTGGGAAATGGAGAGGATAGCACAGGACGAACTCTGAGTGACGACAGTTAGCCTCTGGACGCTATGAGAATCGAATGATTAATTGTTAGGGTGTGGTCAGTATATTGTTAAAATAAACAACGCCTAGTAATGGGAAAGATGAAAATGTCCACAAAACAACGCGTTTCGGCCTTGCAACCTTTTTTAAACACAAGTGACCTACACAGAGGAATGGGTTTAAACATAAGTGAGCTACACAGTCGCTCCTCTTCTACCTTGGGGTGTAGAGGTTTGCCAGAGAGATCGCCAGACGTCTCTATCAGCAGTTTTCTTTCTGGCTTTATTCCATTCCATTCCTCTGTCAGTTAGGGACTGTTGGGTGTTGTCTTCCCAGCGCACCCTGGAGGTCTGATTCCCTGGTTCTTAGCCTGCCATGGTGGCCGATTTTTTCATATTCTGCATAAATGTCCAAACCATCGTAACCCGACTGATCCACTCGGGTTTGTAAGTACTGGGTATCAAGATCTTGACGTATTGTCTGATTGCGGACTTTGTCGCTTGGACCACCTTTCTCAGATATCTCATTTTCGAGGCCTTTAGCTGGCTTCTGTGAGCTGTTGTCATTGCCCATGACTCACACCCATAGGTCAGGACTGGTACATAGGTAGAGCGGTAAACAGCCATTTTCGTCCTCTTGCCAATTTCTCTTTTGCTAAGAAACCCTCGGTTTATGGCCTGGAAGAGTCTCCCAGCAGCTGCTTTTTGTGTAGCCAGCTCCGTCTTAATGCCTCCATTTCGGTCTAATACAACTGCAAGGTATTTGAACTGGTTAATCTGCTCCAATGCATACTGTCCCATCATGATCTGGTGTTTCTTCTCTCTTGCGATCACTATGGTTTTAGTTTGAGATACTTATGGTCATCCCTCTCTTTTCAAGCTCTTCCTTCCAGACAAGTAAGTTGGACTGAAGGTGTGCCTCTGATTTAGCTATCAGGGCCACATCGTCTGCAAATGCCAGCTCGGATATACAGATTGGTCTCATCTTCCAGTACCCTACAGAATACTTTGTCTTCTCCTTACATGCCTTGATGACATCATCCATCATAAGAATGAAGAGATAAGGTGCCTCACCTTGTCTAACACCGCTTTTGGTCTTAAATTCTTCTGACTTTTGGTCTGCTGTTCTTACATAATTTCTGCAGCTTTTGTAGAAACTCTGTATTGCACTGATCAGGGTTGCTGGAATGTTTTTCCCCGCCAAGCAGCCCCAGAGCTTGTTCCAGGGTACTTTGTCAAATGCCTTTTCCAGATCAAAAAAACATAGGTGCATTTCACTCTTATATTCAAGGATTTTTTCACTCATCTGTCTCAGTGTGAAGATTGGGTCTTGAGTACTTCGGTTTGCTCTGAAGCCACATTGGGCCTCATCCAGCTGTGGCTACCAGACTTCTAAGTCTCTGCTCGAGAAACTTTTACCAGGAACGCTGAGGAGGAATATGCCTCTGGTTTTCACATTGTCTGTTATCACCTTTTTTAAATATAGGTATAATGATAGCAATCTCCCAATCTTTTGGTATAGTTTTGCTACACCAAGCTGCCTGCAGAACCTTTAGTAGAAGGCGCTCACCTGCGACACCCACATATTTGACCATCTCTGGTGTTATACCATCATGACCTGCTGCTTTTCCCAGCTTAATCTTCTCAATAGCTGCCTTCAACTCTACCATCCTGATATCATCCTCATGGATGATTTTCTTCTCTGCAGTGGGGTCCATTATTTCTGGGTCATGACTTCCCTCAACGCCAAGGAGCTCTGAGAAGTATTCTTTCTATCTGCCCATGATATTATTTGTAGAAGTAAGCAGAGCTCCTTCTTTGTCTTTTATGAATTTCAGTGGGCACTGTTTCTCTTTCCTCATGTAGAACAGTTTTTGATTTTCTCTTGCATTCTTTTCCAACTTTTCTCCAAACTCTTCCCATGATTTCTGTTTTGCTTTAAGCACAATATTTTTGGTCTCTGTTCTGAATGCTACATATTGTCTCTATTTCTTCAGCTGTGTTTCTGGCTGCCAGGTATTGCTTCCATGCCCTTTTTCTTTTCTCCTATTTTCAGTTTGACTTCTTCTGTCCACCAAGGTGTCCTATGTCTCCGCCTTCCACTTGGGACGTCACCACATGCTTCTACTGCAGCTGCTGTAAGGATATTCTTGAATCTGCACCAGAGGGTTTCAGTGTCCTCTGATGGTTCTTCTTTAGTTCCTATTGCTTTCACTATAAGTTGCTGGTATCTAGCCCTAATATCTGGCTCTCTTAGCCTGTATGCTTTAATCCTCATCCCTGCTTGGTTTCTTGCACGGTTGTCGGTGTTGCCTTGTTGGAGCAGTTCTTTCAGTTGTTCTCTTTATTGTGACCAGATAGTGGTCACTTCCAATCTCTGGTCCTCTCATGACACTGGCATCTCTCACAAACTTGAATGAACTTTTCCTAACTATGGCGTAGTCAATGATGGATTTTTCATTCTTTGAAGGTTCACATCTTGTGTATGCATGTATACGCTTGTGGGGGAATTTTGTGTTTGTAATGACAAGGTTCTGTTCCCAGCAGAATCTGAGAAGTCGCTTGCCATTATCATTCAAAACTTCTTCACCATATCTCCCGATCACTCCACCCCATCTAGAGTGATCATTTCCTACTCTGGCATTTAGATCTAATAGGAGGATAATTTCATGGTGACAGTCATCTATGGTCCTTTGGAGCAGTTCAAAAGAATTCTTCTTTAACATCAACTCGCTCATCTTCATTTGGCCGTACACAATAACAATATTGATATTTTTATCTTCTTCTTTCAGATCTAACACAATAATTCGTTCTGAGATGAATTTCCATCCCTTGATGTTACTAACTTGGGTCCTGGCCACAATACAGCCAACACCTCCCTTAGCTCTCTCCATCATAGCGACACCACTGTAGAGCAGCATACTTCCATCATGATCTGTGATTCCTTGCCCCTTTTCCTTGGTTTCAGTCAGAGCCAAGACTCCTAATTTCGCTTTCCTTATCTCCCCTACTAAATTCCTTTTTCTTCCCGTTAATGCCTCGTATGTTCCATAATTCGTAGTCCGTAAGCCATGCCAGTTCGTCGCCGTTAAGATCCGTCCGCTTTTCTAATTTTTTTTACGACTTACTTTGTTTTTTTTTTTACATATACATTAGTAGCTTTACTTCCGTCTTCTATAAAAATACAAACAGCTTTAGCATGTGATAACCAAATAACCATTTTTTGTTACTTTGCTAATAACACCATTTAAACGACCACTAATATAAAGATAGTTATATTGTGCGTAGTCTACAGTTGGACAACCAGTCTCTCTATATTTGTGCAGTCATTAACTATATTAGACACGTGCGATTTCTATTGCCTTTCTTTTCCAAAAACCTTTGATGAGGGAGAGAGTAGTAGGTGGATTGGAGCTAAACTAGATGGCTAGGACTCACGAGCAAAGCTGCAGGAGATGCGGAAGCTGCTGCCAACCATCTAGTTTAGCCCCAACCCACGCAGCGTGGAGGCTACTTTCGTCGGTGGCGGTAGTCGCCGGAAAACCGCAAATTAAGTCGCTGAAGTGCGCAATTGACACGTGACTGAGGGTCGCCATCTTATGTGCCCGTTATTCGGAGGATAGACTTTTATTTTGTATCTTTCCACTTCTTGCTATGAGTGCCAGTCAATACATTTTCTTTTAATTTATGAATATACAGTATTATGCTAGATGTGGTGTCGTATGCTAGGCCGTCTTGCACCTCAGATTTCTCATTGATCTTCGCTACGAATTCCCGGGTACTTCTTTTCCCCTTACTATCGAACCATTTGTATAGATAATCAGATCACCTGGTGGTGAATCAACTGTTGGACTTTCACCTCCGTAGCACCCGCTGACCACTTTCTGCACAACTGGTCAAATTTTTATCATAACCCTACATAGGTCAGTTTTCCTCAAGTGCTCTGACCCACTCTTCTACTCACCCAATGTTCTCCAGCATACATACTTGTCTTATTGTGTCATCTGGTTAAGTCATCCATGATTTTCCCTTTTTTAGCCCCTGACCTGCAGCCAAAGCTTTATACAGAGGGTGTTCCCTGTCTGCAGCTACTCTGAGGTATGACTTAGCCTGCAGCACCTTTAGCCTATCTGCAATAGTCGGCAATGCAATGATGTATCGTATGCACACAGTTGGGGTGTCTCTTGTACAACCCAGGATCAGCCGCATAGCTTCATTCTGTATGCGCTCCAGTTTCTCTAGCTG